AGTCTCGCGTGTAGTGATAAACTAATAACGTTCTAGATTAAACATAACGATCTCGCTTTTAGTCTCTTCTGTTTATTTCTATCTTCTAATTGCTCGACACAACTATAATTTCATTATTAAATGTCTCATCTACGTCTACCTACCTATCCGACATTATATCCTATCCATCACCAACTCCAACTATATCCTCAACATGTTTTTGACATTCAGAAAAACTAAAAATAGTTTTACTTCTGTCGTATTTAAGGCGTCTCACACCTTGATCATCAAATTAGTAACTGCGTTCAGGATATTTACTAGCGAAACATGTTTTGCGACAAGTGTAGCCATAAAATCTGTAATATTTAGAGGAGTATATTCTGGTTGAGAGTAAGGAGCAAGTATGGCCGCCGGAAACGGACAAACGGGACAGGAACGCGTTGTTCGCTATATATAGAACTGAGTTACTATGTAGCGAACGTACCGATAACTGTGGCTTTTTGAGGGTTGGTTTTGGGTCATGTGGATTGATTGATTTTTTATTGAAATGTCTACTAATATTGTACAATTCCTTGTTGGTCTAGTCAAACTCCATTTTTTTTTTTGCTTGACCTATAAATTGAACTCAAGTTGCTATCAGTAGTTAAAATGCATGAATGGATTTATGCTCAACAATATTAGAAATGAATTCCTAACGAAGATCATGTTTTAGAACAACTATCATTAAATCGTAATAGAGAATGTAGACACAGAAGTATAAGAACGGAAGCCTGACATCTGTACATGGGCAGTTATGTTGGCCAGACCATTTGATACGAGCCCAGACCACAACGGAAATCGCCAAGCCATTGACTTTTTCTAGAGCCCAGTGAAAGGCATCTTGATGTTCAGCCTCATCAAGTAACATACACTTTAAAAGGGCTAAAAAGTGGTTAAACGGTCAATTTAAGATATTGGATGTCGTTAAAAGGTAGCCATTTTCTAGAATGAATTAGTTTGCCTCTTGTAGGTAAATATCTGAGAACTTAAATGCGTATGCGCAGGCTACAGTATTTTTACTTTTTAGTGCAGCGTGCTTTCTATATTAAGCTGTATATTATTTTAATCCCAAGTATTTGACCAACAAACCAAAAAAATCCGGACAATACTCAACAAATAAACGCAACAACGAAATTATTAAAGGAAAACATGTCCAAAAGGCAAGCAGGCGTAAAAAATCTCGCATCAAATCCAATTCACGGACAGGCACTGTAATCGAAAAGAAATCGAAATGTCGAACGAAAATTGTTCGTACAATATGTATTGTAATGGCATCACGTACCATAATCGAAGCTATTATGACATACGAGAATTGCACCTAAGTATAATCCAATATTTATACCCAGCGTGATTGTAAGGCGTTGGGAATCTCTACAAATCATTCTTGCGTCCCTCTCTAGCTCATTGCCTCATCTGTCACCAGGAAAAGGACAGCGCATCCAGTATTTTCGTCTGTTCGTAGGTGTTCGGTCATGTTTGCACACCCTCGCCTCAGCCGACAGGTAAATTCGACAAAAGCAGTGGGTGTTTGTGTTTATTATAAGGAATACCTGAATGCAGGTAGAAATCATTGTACGGGCCCCTTCTAGCGAATAATAGAGTTTTCGGAAATAATACAATGAATAAAATAATTTATGTTGGCTCGGAATACAATATTTTACGATTTTCGGAAACGTTCGGTACTGGTAGTGTGGTACCTGTATGGCTTTTTTGTAGGCGCCTTCACAATTGGTGTTTTGGATGGGGTTTCGTCTCGGTTCTCAAGTTGTTTTTGTTTGTTTTACGGGCAATTTGCGATTATAGAGACATGTCTATCCGAAGATCTTGACATTATCTCGCATTATTCGTGGCACGGCACCCGGTACAGTTAATTGAGTGGTTGACTCATTACGACCCGCCGATGTTTATCTACGCATCGAATTGTACAATAATGAGTTCATTTACCGCCGTCAACTTATGAATATTTAACAATCTTACAATTTCGTAGGTGTAAAAAACAGTCGTGCTTTACGATCTTACTTAATAGCGTGAAGCGGACCTTATCGTGAGTGATATGAACGATCGTTAAGGGAAGCGTGCGCTTGCGCTTAAAACATTTAATCGTTCCATTAAATCATTAATAAAGGTACACATACATTGGTTGCACAATACACACCGTAATACCAATAAAATAGAATATACTGGGAGGTGTGAAATCGTGTAAAAGCGCAAATAGCACAGAATGTATCGTTAAAACCAAACATAACTTTAAGCGTTTCATTGAACCATTATAAACTTTGATACGAACATAATAAGAGTTGTATTTCATTGTGAATTGATAGCGGGTGCATCGGTAGTAAGTTGCGTGAATAGAATTCAGTGCAGTGAATATATTGTGCTGCTATTTGAATGCATTGTGGTACTAATACGAGGAATATGTTCAATGGAGATTTACCTGAGTCGGGCACCTGCTGTTAGCTTGTAGGACACTATGTCCATCGTCCCAATATGTGGGACAAATCGGACAAATCGAAGCGCCGCGTGAAGTCGCCACTATCGCACAATGTCCATCAATTTATTTTCGCCCAATAATTATGTCAGTCAGACCACCTATTAGACACGTTTAAACTTAAACAAATACATTTATATACCATCACGACTCCATAAATAGAAATCGTGTATCGAATACATAAAAATATAATTACTTTGACAATTTTATTGAAATAAAGAATCAAGGTAATAAGCACTATAAAGTTGTACGCACATAAAATATAAATGACTTACCATTTAAAGTAATAAATAATGTAATGGAAGTATAGTAATAGTGCGCAAACCGTAGTTAACTAAGGTTCTCATACGGAATTGTGGGACTACAGATAATTATATGGCTGTGGAATATAACTAGAGTGGTAAATAATAATATATAAATAGACTTTAACATGGAATTGCGTTCAAAAGGACAAGTCCTGTTTGATTGCATCATAGAGAAATTATTAACAGAAAGTATTCTTTTGAATTTCGAATAAAAAAAAGATAAACGAACACCTCGTGTGCCAGTATTCTTATTTTTATCGATATCTAAGAAGTATTTATTCAATTTCAATCGAAAAAGGCGGATATAATGTCACTTAGAAATGATTGAAGCACCAATATGTCAGTGGGTTATTTGTGTGTGCGTGTGTAATAGGTTACCACGTTACTAGACTTTAAGAAAATGACAGATGTCCTTCGTGTCAATGTGTGTATGTTGAGGGTGTAAATCTATAGTCGCCAGGTGCCAGTAGTTGATTCAAGAGACTGTCCGTTTTTTTAGATTATGTTAGATTTTTGGCATTATTTACAAGATGACTCTGTCCAAAAGAAATCGATCTAAATTTTGGAATAATATCGGTTATTAATTTCGAAGGCTAGTATTACTACGACATTTAATTATTATTTTGTGTGGCTTATTGCGTGGTAATATCCTAATTCCCACCAACTTTTAGGAAGTTCTTTTTATTTTACAAGCCCCAGTAACAGCAGCTGACAGATAATATTGTCAATAGAATGCTAGAGGCATTATAAAACTGTCGTTACCTTCCCACAGATAAAGCAAAAAGGTTTTAATATTGTCTTTGCCACTGGCAGCTTACTATTCAAATTTCGAATAAGGAACAATATGGCGTCACAACGGGAATAGGGATTAACTCGTTGTTAAAGACCTAAGTATTATTAGCCGGAACTAGAAGACAATAATACCTTCTGTCTTTACCTACCCCAAAGGAACAGGCGACGATTCCCATGTAGCCTTACCTATTTTGTCACTAACTTACTTTTAAACTTAAGAATTATAAAAATTTTTGGTTCAGTTAGACTCAATCATACGTTGCAATTATTTAGTATAGGTAACTTGGGAACAAGTTTCTGTCCAAGGAATAGAAATAGTTGCTCAAAGGGGCAGTCAAAACGAAACTTAATTTACAATTACTTATAAAAATAATACACACATAAAACAAATAACAAAGAAAATAGTAACATAACAAGCTTATCTTGATTGTTATCTTTATATGAAGTAATATGAATACGATTTGATTACATTACCAAATTCTTGGTATCTAAGTGACGTCATGGTATAAACCTGTCCAGCTCGTCACGTTACAGGTTAAATTATCAACGTTTGATTTATTTGCTAGTTGTAATTGTAGTGAAGATATCGAAAACAATGCTGAGAATGTTGAAACAGATTAGCTTCTTTGTGATATCGGAGTTAGAAGGAATATGTCCAGCGGAAGACGAAAAAGGTCTGATGTCGATGATGAATAAACTTCGAGATGTGATGACATCTGATAGGGGTGATAGGAAGAAAGAAATACGTCAGCCAAAAGCAAAGTAGATTTTATGATTGAGAGAATGTATAGACAGTTTTCGCAGTAAGGTTTCAACAATGTGATAAGGTCTGAAAGAGAGACTAACGGTTCACCCAAAGCAATACAGATAGATAGCCTCAAATACCAAACCTAATACATTTATAAAAGTGCTTAGAAAGAATAGTCATACGCTATTTTGATAAGCAAACAATTTGTAAGTAACAAAATATCTTTTCCTTTTTAAACCCGAGCTCGCAAGTCAGCAAAGGTGTCAGTTGCAAGTTGTAATACAATTCTTGTAATTGTACGAGTCTTAACGACGGTTAATATGGCGTATCGTGACGTGATATCGTCGGAATAGACGTCTCATGTGCATCCGTAATGTGTTAGGACCGATTTACGTGTGTACTGTCTACCGCGTGTTGCCCAATCAACGAGTTTATGACGTGATCATTGTCCAATCAAATCCGCTTTTGAATGAGGCGGGAAAGTTGACAGTTCTAGATTCGAAGTTTAGATTTTTAAATGTGATTGACTGGCTTTTAATGCTGTAGTATTAAAAAGTAGTTCCAATAACAAACTTAATGTTTTCGCTGTAAGGCGTAATAACCAAAAGTAACTCTTGGCGTAAAAGTAATAAAGTTGAATGTCACTCACCTCACTTTCAGTCCAATCGATTAGACTGGACTTTTCTTCCAGTAAGTTCTCGGAACTTCGCTTCTCGTCTTCTCCGTCGCCCTCGTCTTTGAAAACCTTGACCTCATCAGTGGAGCCCAGGTCGTCGCCGCCCGAGCTCGCCGCCGAACTCGAATGAGCATGCGGCATCTTCACGAACCCAACGCCCCAACTTCCATTATCCCATCCTCTGACACCTACAACCTATCCACTATCTGTCATCCATGACCACTCACTGTACCGCCATTTTGTTTGTTCCAAATTCAAACTTCACGGTCCTTCGCACCGGATTTTGACATTTGTTTGTTCAGTCTATGGGTAATGTTTTTTTTTCTGCACTTAATTCGTAACTAATTTAGGCGATTGTTTGTTTTTTTTTTACTAAACTAAAATGAGATCACAGATAACTTTTGTCAGGTTAAACTTAAAATGCCTAAGGTTGAGGTGTTCCGTTATATTTTGTGTTGGGTTGCATCTGTAAAGAAGAAAAGGGTTCATTAGTGACATTTGAATAGACGAAGCATGGTGTAGGGTTTGTAATCAAGGTCTAGGTTGAATTATGATGCCATACAATTTAGAAGCAGTAAGCTGCTAATTACTGGTAGATTTGAGTTTATACAAACATACGCGTTTCTGTGTGGGATGTCTTATTACTAAATGCTTAAGGTTGATATTGGTGTTGGCAAAATAAGCGATAGGTTGGCAACAATTGTGGCTGTATCGTCGTGTGACACATCTTTTAGGTCAAGCTCCTTGTCAAGTGGACGTCAAGAAGCACTCTTGGCTTGGAGCCAAGTGACGCTAAGAAAACTCTTCGGGAAATATTGAGTAAGGAACAATTCACGTAAATATGTATATTTTGTTATATTTTATCATGTCCAGGTAACACTAAAGTGCGAACAAAGGCGTGAGGAAGTTTTTAAACAGAAAATGGCTTCTTATTCTCTAATCTTTGACAATGCAAAGTTTAAGGCTAGCCCTATTGTTAATCTGGATTTACGGATACTACTGGGAACTGTCGAAAAAAAACCAATAATAATTACTTTGCTAACTACAGCTGGTTGGCCAGAGCAGAAAATAGCTTCAGTCCACGATATAAGTATCAAAATCGCATAAATATTGATTTGTATTGAATAAAAACCTTCAGATCGTCCGAAGTCGATCGTTATTTACACGATCTTTTGAACTTTGAGGTTATCTCTAACGTGACTCAAACGTGGGTATCAGGCTTAGATCGTCGTAAAAATAGCAACTATTGTCTACTTCAAATGTGCAGATTCCATGGGGATTAACCGTGGTGATTATTGAGAATTTATTAAAGGGTAGCTAGCTATTGTTGGCCTCTCATTTCGTGCTTAGATATGTATGGATACGCGCAAAATTGTTTTTAAACTACGTTTGTTATTGGTAATACATTTTTGATACATTCCTGAATAGCTAGAAGCAAAAAATGGATAGCTCTGTAGATAGAGAAATCAACTAAAGAAAAGATCATTTTTTCATCACAGAAGATTTCATACACAGAAAACATTCCAAATCAGTCACAAGCGCCAGACCAAAATCCGAACAATTCGCAAACCACCACTCTCGCGCAAGTTTTAATCGAAAATCTTACCAACCAGGATGCAGTAATGACAATGCGCTTGCGTTCCTATGCGGTCGCATTTGTCAGGTATGTATAATGTAAGGTGTGAAGCGTTATGAATAATGGCGGCGGACACGCCTCGGTTGAGCTATGCATGACAATATACGGATAGGGTTACAAACCAAATAGAAAGAATATGTATAATATGTCAACTACTACATATTTGCTTAGCTGTTAAAGGTAGGAGATGTTTTTGATCGTGCTGCTTGTGGCGCTAGTGGCGTATTAGATCATATGCATCTTAGTTGTCAAAGTTTGACTAGCCAATATTTTGATGCGGAACTGAATTTTTAGGACTCTTGAGAGGACAGACTCTAATTGGGAAGGATAGATGGTGCTGATGATGAAAAATAGATAGCTCTTTGAGTACCGTCATTATAGACACGATTAAAGAACAATAGGTTGCGGTCACCGGTGTCGCGAGGGATCTTCCACGGTAATCAAAATTTCTCAGACTTTCACTTTTTCAAACTCGTTTTCAGAATTTTGTGTAGTTTTGAGCAGTTTTGAGCAGTATAAGTATGTATATTGATGATGACCAGATGACCAGTATTATGCAGATTCAAACAACAGATAGAAGAAGTGATAATAATTATACTGAATTGTTAATTTCAACGGTTCATTCAAGTTTTCGTACAGTAACATCTCCTCTTCTAGATTTTATCTTTAAAAACAAAATCAAAGTCCGATTCTTACGTAATTATCCGAAAATTGGTCTCATTATACGGTTGATTAATTTTACACGTGAAAAAAACTAAGATAAGATGCGTGTTGAGAAAAGTTTAATGACCTCGAGGTCATAGCAGTTTTTATCTATTTCATAAATCTGTTTTAATTACTTTTGTTTCTATACCTAGAATAACTAGAATTTGTTTATAGTACTTACTTGCGAATAAATAACAATGAATTGTCTAGCTAAAACGAGTGGAATAGAGTACAGAAGAGAAGAGATTTCTATCCTAACTAGATCTCTAGATAATCTTTGACTAGGAAGAATAAGAATAGGTAGTACTATTAGGTATTTATCGGTATTTTCTTTTCTTAGGAGGATAGTACCTACTATACAGGCAAATGAGTAGATGTATCGCCAAATGGTAATGTATTAGCATATTTGATGGACATATGATACATTTTTTTTTTTTTTTAAGGGCGAAAATAATCGAATGACTTCTCCCGCCTGGGTGAGGCGGGAGGGAGTGTCAGACTCTTACTGACTAAAAACCACCCTGTTCCTACTCCTGCACTTCGAGCCGGAGCCCCGGTAACCCCTTAAGTTCTCCGCGACACAAATGATACAATAGAGGTGTAAAAAATGCCTTTTAAAAAGGAGATAACTAACTAACGAGAGAAGTCTTTTGGATAAAATCTTGGCCTTGGACTCTGGAGTTTGGAACAAAATAATTCACCTTTAAAATAGTTTCAGGATTGGAACAAAACATATTTTTACGTAGTTTTAAAATATCATTAGTATAGACGTGCTGGATCACGTATAAAGTTACATCAGTAGGAACATTACTTGGAAATAATATCACATTGTTTATTTATATTTTATCAGCAACTACCTGAACCCATTTTTTTATCACTCCACATGACATTCGCACAGATAGTGCCCGTTTGTTTTATCAGATCATATTTTCGAAACTTAGTACTTTTATATCTCGTATTATTTCATGAAGATTGGTATGCCATCAGATCCGAATGGACAGGATTTGGACCAGAATATTTACCACACTCTGGAATTGGCAATTTCATGACTGAAGATGATAAATGGCAGTCAAACAAGAACGTATATGAGTCAAATCTGGTGCTGATCAGTACTTCTTCCCTTTTTACTATTCTCTTCAAGTGGTAAACGAGTTTACCTTTTTTCTGATAAAGGCAGTTAGTCAGTTCCAGTGAGCCTATACAGATCTGTAACATAATTGCTAGCCTAAGTGGATAAAACAGTTGAAGAAGGCTCCACAAGAAGAGCATTATCAAAGTTAGATGGTCATGTAGCGCAAATATTGGTTCGGATAACATCCTAAGCTGATGCTACCAGCCAAATATGAGCTCATCCACCACGACAGACTTCAAAATAAGCGTACTCTGTACTTAATGGCCGATATCATTTTATATTCCACAATTAGCCACACATGAGTGTGGGAGATAAAAATAAACAGTTAAATATGAGCCATCTCCGTGAGACTAAGATGAATTGCGCTTTAAAAATAATACTGACAGATTTCTGTTCGCAGATTCCCTTGAAAGTCGGTTTTGTAATCTGTTGGCCGGATTTTGTGGAGTAGTTCGGCCGAATGAGTATGTGTTACTACGGTTTCTGTCGTATGTATTGTAGTATTATTTCGTATGGTAACTACTATACCGGTTTAATTATCAGATTTCTATTTCTCACAAGGAGTACGTCAGAGTTATATTTTTATATCAGTGGAGACACTAAAACCTATCTAAGAGACGTTAAAACTTCTTAATGAACTTGAATAAGTAATATAGAAAATAAGGACTACATTTTCATATTCATCTAGATCATCTCCTTTCTAGATTTTTCCAAGCAATTTGGGAGTGTCAGCCAAAAATCTACATTTTCTATTCTCCCCTATCAGATGTCATCCTATCACAAATTCCTATCTATAGCTTTTTGGAACAGAGCACGAAGGTAAAATCTTGGAGAGAAGGTTCTTCCTACTTTCCAAGCTAGATTCCTAACCAAATCTATTCAGTGCATCGCAGGATTCTAGATCAAATACGTAAACCCTACTTATCATTCAATTCAATTCAAATATACTGTATTTTATCGGGGAATTTAAATTTTACTATACTTTACAAATAGTAGAGTAGGACTGTCTTGGGTCGTGTGGTTCCAACTGCGACTACCGTGCTAGAGGTCTTGTGATCAGCATAGGGGGTCAAGCAGAGAATGTTCGGCTGTTTTCCGGAAATTTCTCAGTAGTTAGTTAATAGTACCAGGAACTTATTTTATGTGATCTTGCATTGTTGTCTGCATGTGTGTCGTGGCGATATAAACGGCTTTCGTTCTTTGATCTTTCTACTTCTTTCTTTCTTTCGTTGACTGAGTCTGTACTCAGTTCTGTAAATGTCCCCAGAGTATGGCAATAGAGACTCACTGTTCAAATAGATTATTTTATTTTGATTATGTGCCTATTTAATCCAACTGAAATACCTTTTTTGACTTTGACGACGCGATTTGGTGTGATGATAGCAACGGTCACCCATCTACAAAATAACCGCGGTAAGCATTCAAGGAATCTCAATAAATTTATGGGATGAAAAACACAGTATTTTATCTCAAAAACCACTTCAAAGCACCTTTCTTTTTGGACATTTTAAATGTTTTTTAAAACGCTAATTATGATAAGTTATCGTTGTGTCTTGGCAACAACTCGATTAATTAATTAGTTCTTTGATTAAAGTAAACAAACGGACGGTGGTATTTTTTTTGTTGTAACATGTTTTTGTAGATTTATTTAGACTTTATCATAGACGGTTCTGTTTTGATGTTTGTGTTATAGTTATAAATATGTAAACTGTAGTTTATTTTTTGTCTTCAAATTATAGTTTGGTAATTAATTATTCTTTTTGGTTTATTGAAGTTAGGCCCTGATATTGAAAGCTTACTCAATTTAAGTTGTACTTACTTAAATATCGTGCCATCTCTGTCATTTTACAAAGAACTTGAAGAGACAGAACTATACTTAAGCGTTAATTGAGTGACGTTTAAGTATTTCAGCATTAGTTATTTTAATCTGTATTAACTACTAGCTTCTGCCCGCGACTTCGTACGCGTAATCCCAATTTTTCCCGTCCCCGTT